CCCCCAATTCCCCCTTTCCACCCCGGAGAGGTTCTTATTTTGCCGGGCATTTCGATCTGCTTTCCGACAATCCTGTCCCCATTTCCATTTTATGTAGGTCGAAACGGAGCTTTTCCTTTTCTCTCTGACTCACTTATCTGGCAGTAGCTCAAGGACGGCCCGCCCGGCCTCTGTCCACCCCATTCGTCACGCACCACCGGTAAACTCAATTCTCGCCACCCTGTCAAAAAAAAGGTGTGAGGCGGCGAGAGGAACAAAAGACTCCCGGATGGAGAGATTTGAATGGGGAGGGAGGTCGTGCCGTTTTGCTGCGAAAATGATGGTATTGGAAGCAATTCAGCACTGAAGATGTGAGAGTTATTGAGGTGTCCAATTGCTTCGCAAAGGATTAAAGATAAGCAGCACTAAGATAAGATAATTCAAGAGCGGGCATATATTTATCCTCCGCTAATGTTTAATGAAATAAGACGTTCCGTGCTCGGCCTCGGCGACGTCAATATTTACCCACCCAACTTTATTTGTCCCATAGCTGCGCGTGCCTTATTTTATTTTCCGTATCGTTATCGATAGAAAGCCTCATATCCCGTGAGTGCCACGCTGCGCCAAAAACCCCGTGGCCATACCAAAGGGCCCTGCTTATTCGCCGTTAGTATTTTACAATCACATTTACTTTATTACTATGTTTTGCCTTTTGTTTTGCAAGGGCTGTGACCTCTCCGTTGACCTGACCCAAGCTAGGGGCAAGTCCCGTTGACGGCAAGGGTTGACGGACAGCTGTCGTGGGCCTGTCGACTTCCAGCGTTGCGGCCGCCGGTTCCCCATAGTCTCTCTTCCCTTCCACGAAAAGACATCCGCACCGGGCCGGTCGGGCGCGCGCGTCCGCTGCACCGGCAGCACGGGCAGCACCCTTTGTGCAGCAGCAGGGGGCGCGTGACGCGCAGGACGCGCGCAGTCGTCCTCCGGGAGGCCGAGAAGTATAATATTGTCTCGCCTTCCTCATTCCACCCTGGGGGGACGACGGCGGGGCGGGCGGGTGTGTTGCAGTTGCAGAACGGGGTGCCTTCACGACCGCGGCGGCCCCTCACCCGCGCGAGCCCCCTCCCTCCTTGGGCGCAGCGGCAAGGTCGTCGTTGCAGAAAATACACACGCTTGATGCACGGCGGCAGGGGGAAGGGGCGTCCGTCCGCGAAGACGCACTCGCGCGGGTAGTTCGTGGCCGCAGGACGCTGCTATAGAGTCGGGAAAGTCGGGCTTGAAAACGTTTCCCGCGTGCGTCATGTGCATAACGCCGTATAGTAATGAAAGGGGAGAGCGTTTACGGGGACAGGGGTACTCGGAGCAAGTACTGTACTGTCCAAATTTCCTTTTTCGCGGCGCGAATAAGACCCCGGGTAATTACATATCGCGCACATTTGTTTCGCGTCGGTCTTATCCCCAGAGTTTTCAGATTTGTCCCAGTCACTGCTTGGTCACGAGGTCGAAGGTCGAGCTGCTGCTGCTGCAGCTGCAGCTGCAGTGTGACACTGACACCTTTGCGATGCCCCGGTGCGTGCGCAATGCGGCCCGCGCGCCCCGCGCAGCCCGTGCCCGCCCGCCACACCCCCGCGGTGTTGGTGGCCTGCCAGGCCAGAAGGCGCACCGAGGCCGCAGCACGGAGGTGTCGCGGCCCCGCGCGACATTCAAGGACACCCCCGAGCGGCCGAAGGGTCCAAAGGGGTTGTGAGTGTGAGATGTAGTTCGGGGTGGGTGGGAGACGAGGGGTCCATGGACCACTTGGAAGAATCGCTGTACACTTTCCAAAAGAATAATATTTCCAATCATTTCGAATCATTTACAATCACTTTCAATCATCAAGTCCTGAATAATGCGTTACATGGGTTGAGCCCTTAGTCGTTTTAAGTCATTTTAAACTCAATTCCAATCATTTTGAATCAATTTAAATCATAATGAATCAATTCCAACCATTTGGAATCAATTCCAATCATTTGAAATCAATTCCAATCACTTTAAATCTTTTTCAATCACTTTACAATCATGCAATGTTTTTACAATCTTTCAACCATTTTACAATCTTTCAATCATTTTGCAATCATCACAATCATTTGCAATCAATTTTGATTGCAATCACTGTACAATTTTTGTTTTGGAGTGGTGGACCCCTCGGTGGGAGAGGTAGAGGGGGGGGGGCAAATCGAGTTGCATCGAGCTCTCCTGCTCCGGCGGGCGGCACGTGGGTGTCGAATAATGGACCCACTGTCCGCCCAGCCCCGCCCCGCCCGGGGGCGCCACCACACCGACCCTCAGCACGGCCCCTGCGTTCGATTGGAACGCGTCAGCAAGTCGAGGTGATGCCGCGCGGAGCGAGAGGCAGAGAGGCAAAGGGGCTGCGGGGGCGGGGGCGGGGGCGGACAGGGGCCGCTCGATTCTCTTCCCTATCCGCCCCCGCCGCGGGCCCCGCGCCCCCGCCCCCCACACGGACCGCGCGCCGCTGCTCTGGCCCCGTTGTCAGGACCGCCCCTGCTGCTGTCCTTAGAACGGCAGACAAGTTCAAGGACGGCCGCGTTGGGACCCCGGTGCGATCTCCGGGCGGTGGGACGACATTAGGGGCAGGACCAAGGCAGGACGCCGTTGATGACGAGACGATGCCAGAGCGACGAGTGCCAGTAGCGCGGGGTGCGGCTCGCGA